GCGCGCGCGGGGCGAAGGTGGCGGGGAGGAGAGAGTGCGGGGCGAGCGCTCGTGTGTGCCGCGCGCGGGAGCCGGCGCCCCAAATACACAGCGCGAGTTGGCGATTCAGACCGCGCGCCCAACTACATATGCCGCGCGCGCGGTTATTGCGCGCCCGCTCGAGCTTGTCTACAGGTTGCGCGCGTTAAAATGGCAAAAAAATTGGCGCGGTGCTAGTTTAGCGCGGCTGTTGGAGATGCTCTAAGAGTATCTTCAACAGCCGCGCTACGCGCCGCGCGCTAAAAACTACTTTGACGCGCGCCCTTCGCCTGGTTTTGCGCGGCCGGCAGCGCTGGCTCCAACAGCCGTGCTAAAATGAAGCGCGCGCGCGCCGCTCCAGCAGCCGCGCTAAAAATGCGGCGCGCGCTATCGCACGCACATAGAAAAAAAAACATCCTCGTGCCTTTTCCAATAGATATTTTACATTCATAGATAAACGATACATAAATATTTTACATAGTTTCAAAGCATAGATAGATAATAACAAACTACGGTGCAACGACATAAAACTACAACGACATAAAAAACTACTAGATAGTGCAACTAGATAAAACTACAACATACTCTCAGTCGTTATCATCATCATCACCGTCATCCTCGCTGGTCTGGTCCGAGGTATCGAGCCACATGTCGTCCCAATGAGAATCATTAGTCGAAAAGATCGACTGCCCACCATTTTCAACGATCTCGCACTGCGATAACGCCAGGGCCTTCCGCCGATGCCTCTCCAATCGGTTCGCGCGGCGCTTTGCCGTCTTCTCCGCCCAGTAGGCTTGCTCGTCGGCGACGTCCTCCGGGTGGCGCCACTCCGCCATGACCCGCTCGTCCTCCTCGGTGATGAGGAGGCGGCGCTACCGCTCAGCGTGCTCGGCACGGTCTTGTGCCGTGATAAGACGAGGCGGAGGGGCAACGTCCAGCGCCTGCTGGAGCGTGTAGACATCCTGGAAGTTCATCTGCGGGCGCGGCCTGCCTAAGCGCCACGCCGCTGCGTCGTACGCGCGGGCAGCCTCATGCGCCGTCTCGAAGGTGCCGAGGCCGAGCCGGACGTCGCCGGACCGGATCTCAGAGTAGTACGAGCCGTTGGGGCGCTGGCGAACGCCGCGGTAGCCCGACGCTCCTCGGCAGCGCGGCAGCATGGTGGCGCGTTGGTGGCGGGGCGCTGGAGCGGCGAGGAAGCAACGAGGAAGCGGGGGAGGCGCGCATGGCAGCGGAACAGTGTGGAATAGGCGCGTGGCGAGCGCCGCAATTTAAAGGCGCGCCAGAAGCGGTGCACCAAAAATAGCACGCGAGCTGCCGCCTTTTCCTGCGCGCGCTAGTTTCGCGCCACCGCTGGAACGCGCCGAAACGTCCCGCGCGCGCTAAATACTCAGTTTACCGCGCGCGCGCCTCTTTTGGCGCGACTGTTGGAGATGCTCTAAAGACACACAAACTTAGACGAACAAAGACTGGATCCGAGTAGAACCACCAAATATAGCCACCGATCAAATCTTGCAAGATCTACGTCATCGTCTCACCTTACTAAGTGGGATACAAACCCTATCAAAATTGAATATGTAAAAAAAACTTATGGTTGTGTGCATCATAATGATGCGGGTTTAACGTCCTTTTAATGTATTTTTTTGTGAAACCTAAACTTAGATCCACCCAACACACATTAAAAAAAACTTTGGGAAAAACAAAGGTATATCAAGCTAGCACAAACAATTCCCTGGGAAAAACAAAGGTATATTAGCAATTGCCATATGATGATATGTCTAAAGAAAGATATTATTGTCAGGTTATCAACATAATTAACCCAGAAAAGAACACCTGAATGGCACTCAAAAGGAATACACAAACACACCATTCAAAAATAGTACTTTTTCCCATAAGGGGGGAATACATCTATGTATTTCCTCTTCATATTTCTTCTTCTTCGAGGTTCAAGGTTTCTTAGGTCTTGTTTGTATTTTTACTTCTTGGTTGGTGTTCCTTTGTGTAAAGGTTAGCATTATGCTATTTTTTCAGTCTTGCCATGTCGGTATGTACTTGACTTGTACTATGATCCTTATGATATAAATGAGACACATATTACCATACAAAAAGAGTGCATTTAGCATGCACGTGTGCCCATTAAGATTCATATTTTCCATTGGCAAGCTGCCAGAGGGAGACTTCCCGCGGCGGACCAAATTCGTAAGCACAATGGTCCTAATTCTGTACCCTGTGTGGTGTCCTTGAGGATACTGACTACATCATTTTCAACTGTGATCTAGCCAAATTGTTCTGGAGTTGCACTCGGTCGTGGTTGGGTTTGAATAGTGCCCATATACTTCTTTCGCTAATGTTATTGATCTTGCTAAAACCTTATCTGGGCAACAGAGTAGGATCTTTTGGTTTGGCTTTGCAGCTTTGTCCTGGGTTCCCTGGACTGATAGGAATAAGTTCTCGATTGAACATGTTTTTCCTAACAAGCCTGCTGATTGTGTTTATAAATTGCTTAACATTTTATAGCAGTGGAAGTCTCTGGTTAAAGTCGATGACAAGGAGGCACGGAGTTCCTGATTTCTCGTGTCAAGACCACGGCTGCTGAACTTAACGACAGAGTCAGGGATCCGTCATTGGCCTGATGCTTCTCGCAATTCTTTCTTTTGCCTTTTCTGTTCATAGGTAGATGGCATGTGTGCTTTTCTGTCATCTTGGACTGTAATCCTCGCTGCAAGTGTAGCGGTTAAACTTATTATGTGCTACCCTTGTGTATTTGTTTCGGATATTGCCTTGTGGTCTTGTATAAGAGAATGGAGGGAGTACATTTTTAAAAAAAATTATGAATGTTCACCAGACATGGGAGTATATGAGTGGTGGGAGCACTATATATTCTTCCCTCTTATTACAAGATTACTCCAAAAACATGCTTCACAGCTGAACCAAAAATAAAGAAAACACGCAAACAGAAAAAGTACAAAGATATTTCAGAAAAACAAAAGTACAAAAGTACCCTCAAGGGGAGCTCATATATGGCGACCAGCGCGCCGGGTATCTTCCAAGCGTGTACCCCCCACTCCCCCACACGACCTCATGGGGCGGCCCATGTGCGCAGCCGAAGCCCCTATGTTTCTTTTTTCAATCTTTTCCTTTCAAAAAATAATTTGAGATTTCAAAAAAATTGCGAATTATGGAAAAAATGTTTGTGAATTCAAAAAATTTCGTGATTTGAACAAATGTCCGGGAAATGATAAATGCTCACGGATTCAAAAAATGTCCATGATTTTCAAAAAACATCTTGTATTCAAAAACCTGTTCAAAAAACCTAAAAAAATGTTCATGAATTTTTATAATTTTTTTAAAATATAAAAAAATGTGCAAAATTTCAAAAAAAATTTCACGAATGTTTTTTAGAAAATAGTAAATTAAAAAATGTTCATAGTTTTCAAAAAATGTTCGTGAGTTAAAAAAATGGTCACTAATTTAAAATTTGTTTGTAATTTTAAAAAATACGAAATTATTTTAATTGAGTTCAAAAAATTACACCCTGATTTGAAATAAATGTTCAAATTTCAAAAAATGTGCACCAATTTGAATTTGTTTTTACGGTTTTCAGAAAATGTTTATGAAATTTGGAAAGGAAAAAATGAAAAAATAAAAGAAAAGACTAAACTAAAAGATGAAATGAAAAAAGAAAAGGAGAAATAAAAAAAAAACTGTTTGGGAAGGTTTTTTCTAAGTGGTGGTTTGGGAACGTTCTAGAACCTTCGTAAAACCAGACATGAGCTAGTTGGGCCAGGCCACTTGTACGCTCCGGGTAGCCGAGGGGTATGAGGCGGTCGCTCGCGCATGACCTATGCGCCGAATAGGAAAATCCACCCGCCCTTGGGTGCCAAATTTTGTTTATAAGAACATCTCTAGCCGATCTCGTAAAAGCTCGCGGGCTCGCGTTTTTTCTGTGGATTTACAGTACACGCAAAAAAAGGCATGAACAGGTCCTGTAAGGGGGGGCCGACTCATAATTTTTTTACGGGAGGCCCGTAAACCGCCCCCGAATCCGCAATATATACCGGAGCAAGGAGATTTTAGGGTTCGCGTCGTTCATTTCCCCTATCCCCTCCGCCGCAAATCCCCTCTCCTTCGGCGACAAATCCCTGTCTTCCAGCAGCCTTTTGCGGCGTGCGTAGTCACCGGAACCGAGCCCTGATGTCGTGCGCGGGTGGCAGAAGGGGTGGCCGAGGGAGGGTGGCGGCTCGTCGCCTTGCAAGCACTGCAACGACGACGAGGTCGGTAGCTCCTCTCTCTGCCTGCAGGTGGAGGAGTGGCGCAGGGAGCAGGTGCGGACACGCGGCGCTCTCTCCCGCAACGCCAGCCGCCGGCCCTGGAGCAACTTCGACAGGCTGGATCGGACCTCTCGCCCGCGCTCAAGCTTCTCCGAGTGGCGGAGCGCGCGTGGTTCGCGCGCGAAGGAGGCGATCGCCACTGGAGACGAAGCTGCAGCGATGCGGGTGGAGGCGTTGAATGAGGAGTACCAGCTCGCCATCCTCTCCAACTTGCTAACGGAGCACCACCTCGGCGTCAAGAAGGACGGTGGTGATGATGATGCGTATCTAGGTTTTTTTAATATTAGTGTGAACTCTGTTCAGCAATGTAATATGTGGCACGAACCGCTAGTTTAAATTATACCGTATGTGTTTGTGTTTGTTTACTAGATTTGTTTTTTCTTACCGTTCCGCGGTACCGTAAATTTAGTTTATCGTAAATTTTGCAGGACGGTGGTTTGCGGGATCACCGGCCTATTAGAGCCCAACTGCTCGTAGAAAAACTCAGAGCCCAACACCATCCGCCAAGTGATAGATCCCCCGCTCTGATCCTTCCACGTGTCCACCGCGCTGTGCGAGAAGCCGGCGGAAAGCAGGAGAAGCCGCCGAGTTCATCGCCTCCTCTGCAGAGGCCGTTCCCCTTTCATTTCCTCCGCACCCACCTGCTCGGCGGCGATGGCTGCTCCCTCCGCGGCCCTCTCCATCTCCGGTGAGCCACTTCTCCGCTCCCCGCGTCTCTTTTCTCCGACCCTTGCTTCGGTACTTTCTTCATGGAAACGTATTGGCTTGAGAATCAGATGCGTGTTAATTTGGCCACCGGAACTTCTCTAGAGTTAGTAGACCAAAGAGATTTGCACCTTACTTGTTCTGTGCTAAGGACCTAGGAGTAGATGTGTTAGTTTTGGATCTGTATTGCGGCGTGGTTGCACAAACAACCGCCGCTTCTGCTACTTGCAGTCCAACTTATGGTATGGTCAGAGTAACTGAGTAACACTGTAACTGTAAGTGTGGATTTCCCGGAAGGTTATTCTTTATGTAGATAATATATGGAGATCCAATTGCTCGTATCTTATGAACTCATGGAGCGCTTGTTCTTGCCTGGTGTATAAGTGGAGCTTGGCATTTTAGTATTTTTATGCATTCTGTAGAAGTTCTTTAGTACCCAGTTGCTACTCAGTTGTTTGCTGAGAGTTTTATTTCCTTCTGTTCTGTCACAGGTGGGGCGCATACCAGTGCATTTGGATGCAAGCCGAAGAAGCTGATCTCAAACAGAAATTTCTTGCAGCTAGCAGTTCCCTCAAATTCCCAAAATGCAAATCTTTATGGAAAGTTAACCGTCTGCAGAGCAGAAAGGTCTTGCTTACAATTTGTTACTTGATTATTTATGTTCTTTTTACGGCTGAATAATTACATCTGGAGCACCAAAAGTTTTGAAGTAATCGAGCATAGGCAGCTTCTCCCAGTTTTCATCTCTGTTACATTGTCTCGTGGTAGAGAACAAGTAGCCTGGTTCATTTAGTGTTCCATAGCTCAAGCTACAGCTGAGATGACTGGTAATGATAATTCTTTGTTCATGTTCTGCTCTAGTTGCATATGAATTGAGCACCGGCACGCTGAAATGGAGCTCTAATATTTTGAATGTACAATTCATATCACTATATCATGCTGAAAATGCTTTGTGCTGTAGATAGCATGCCTACATTTTGGTGTAGACACACATGTTTTGTTGAAAGCGCTTGTCGAGATTCTTTTCAAGTAGATGTATCAGTTACCTTTTAACAAAAGTGGTGGAGGTCATATTCCCCAATGGCATCTTCTTCCTGCACCTTGGGTTTGGACTGTCATCTTCACCGATGACATCTTCTGGTACTTTGGTTTTGGACAGAGCTTTGCTATGTTTTGATATCTTGTAATCATTAGAGTACCGGTATATGCTTTTTTCCCGCATTCTGTATGCTTTTCTCAAATTTTATTTTTTGTGATGTGATTATGCAGTGAAGATTCTAAAGGCGGGGGAGGATTCTTGACTGGATTTCTCATAGGGGGAGCAGTCTTTGGAACACTGGGTTATGTCTTTGCTCCTCAGGTATTATCGAACCTTTGGAGTATTCTTCATTGCCACATGTGCAACCTCAGGAAGGGAATGTAAAACCATCATGCATTAATTAACAATGCTCTGCCTAGCAAATATAGAAGTCACAGCATCTAGTGTTCTACCGAAGAACAAACAAAAAGTTACGATCTCAACAAGCTCAAAGTCCACATGTAATACTACAACTCTTAACTAAGCATGATGCAAGTTACTATGTGTAGGTGGTACAGATTATTTTGTTAGTCTAGATGGTTGTTATGGTCTTGAGAGGAAGTACAGAGAAATAGGAACGTGAAGGAACAAGTCAGCACTTGTGCACTGTTGTGGCGTTTTGCACCGGCCAGGTGCGTCTCTGCCATCGCAAGAGAGAGAGGGAAGGAACATGGGTGATCCTTCCAGATCTTGCTTCCCCTATTTGATTATTCAATCTCCTCAAACACCAGTTTGCAAGTAAGAAGTAATGAACAAAAGCTAGAATCTAACTAATTTAATATATCTTGTCCTTATTCAAATCTTTGACATCCAATTCCTAGCTCTTCTTTTTGCGGGAAATCCAATTCCTAGCTTAATGGGCAAGGGAAAGGAGTCTTAGTCCTCTAGTAATGCGCATCAGTTGCTGCTTCTATCTCTGATGCCAGTCTAACGCTTGGCAGACAGGTGTATGACTGGCCCTGGCCCCATGCTACAATCTGTTATCTACTTGCCTTGTTCTATTGGCAATTTTCCACCGGGGGACTATTTGTTAAAAACTTGACCTCCTTGAGCAGATCAGCAAAACTTTAGATACATTGCTGAATGACGACGGGCAAGATGGTAAGCCTGACGAGCAAGGCGTCCAAAGTGTACCAAGGCCACGTAATGCTCAATACTATGATGAAGGTTTAGAGGTAAGGAGCCAAATGCGGTGGCAGTGTGGCACATTTCCAGACTTCTATATGTGAAAGATTAAAAGGTATTATTTTGACAACTAAATATTTGTGTATTTGTTCCAGAAAACTCGTCAGACACTGGGTGACAAGATTAGCCAACTGAACCTTGCGATTGACAAAGCTGCCGCCCGATTGAAGCGTGTCACTGGCAGTGTCGAAAAAGAGGCTGTTAAAGATGAAACCGAAGTAGAACCATTATAGAACCTTTACAGTGTTATATTTTCTGTATAATATGTAAAGTAATATTTCTTTGCAAACAAAGTGCTTTGGCTTAAGTACTCTCAAATCTACAAGTTAATGTAAAGGCTCTTCAAATGAATACTAGTAAAAACAATTTTTACATGGTCAATGCTAATGCTGGAAGTATGAATCAATGAAATTTAGTTTTATATTTCTTCAGTGTTATTGCTTATGAGTGTTATTTTTGTTAAGTTGCTGTATGAAAACTTATAGCATTTTCACTTAACTTTGCAGATTGAAATATCAACACTGGATGATAATGGAGTTTTGGAAGGAAACTCGAGTGAACAGGGTTTTGTGCAAGGAGAAAGTGCAACATAATGATCATATCGTGTGATTAGCAGCTTTGCCAGGTGAGTCACTGGCCCTGGAATTCATATAGTGCAGACATCTGAATCGAAAGTGTAGTCAACAATGAACCTTGTCAAACTGAAACTACAGGGAGTATTTCGTCGGGCAAACTGATGGGTGCTCTATTCAACTAACCGGCGACACCAAAAATGATTGCAAGTAGTTCGTTGGAGATTTTTTCTGTGCTCAAGCTGTATTGCTGTAGTTCTGTATGCTCTGTCATCGCCATCAGCTCCAAAAACTTTCATGAAAATTGTGTAATTTAGAACTGGTGATCTAAATAGCTGAGTGGCATACGATTCTCTCAATCTGTTGTGTACTAGTACCACTAATAATAGACAATGGTGTGTTTGGTTTAAATTTTCCTAGAAGAAATCAACTGATGGCATCGGAATGGTATCGACTAGAAATCACATTACCTTGGACATCTTTCTCGTATTAAGATGTATTGCTGCAATGCCTGCAAACTCTGTTGTTGCATGAGCTCTAAAACTTCCACTGGAATCAACATATTAGAATTGGTGACCGCAATAGCTGTGTGGCATAGGATTGTCTGAATTTACTGTCTACCAGTAACCTGGGTAAAATTGCCTGAAGAATGAGAACACTGCTGAAAATTCAACATCTAGACTTCAGTATTGGTGGATTACCGATTTGGGCATGTATTAGGCAGGTTTGATGAAACTCCGGTGAGATGGACCTTAGATGAGTTAGATTCTATTTTGCATATGATTTGCAATCCTTCGTAGTTGTAGCTAGTGTTGCTCCATACATGTTGTATCTGAAATTCGGTATCCCCTATAATAAAACCGAAGTAAATCTCTGCAAGTATGTCGTTGAAATGTAATTTCACTTCATCATAGATTAAAGGAACCAAAATAAATTGAAAAATCTATTGAATATGCTGGCTTCTAGATGGGCATCCCGAGACAGAACTCCTCGGTGTCACATCATAACTGTCGCCTGTCGCCTAAACCCTGCCGGTGAAAAACAAAACGATGATGGAAACCAAATCTATGATCAATCGAGGCGCCGAGGCCCACATATATTATACGACATGACATATATTTTGTACTACTTTGCACCCTTTTTTTTCTTGTCCTCTCGTCGTCTCCCCTTTGGAGGCTTTGTTCAATGGCGGTTTTGTCGGGTAATCTTATGCCATTATTCATTCGATGCAAAAATGGCTCGAACTGGAAGACGAATAAAGAATCACACGTAACGAAGGAGCTAGCAAAAGGCGGGCACGTCTCTCCGGTTCACGGCCACCCGAGGCGCAGCTCCAGGTCAATGTCCGTGTCGTTCTCGTCGTCGCTCTGCTGGCACCGGTGGCCGTGCGCCATTGCCACGGGCGTGGAGAGCAGCACGTCGTCGCTGGGGATGAACACGGCCCGCGCGCCGGCGGCGGTGGAGTTGAGCACGGGGTACAGCAGCGCGTACTCGGTGGTCGCCGCGGCGGCTGCGGGCGCCTCGGAGACGGCCGCCGCGCCCAGCTGCGCGGCCGCGGCGCCGAACTGGCCGCGCAGCTTGGCGCGGTCGCGGCGGTGCACGTTCATGTGCCCGCCCAGCGCCTGCGCGGACCGGAACTCGCGGCGGCAGAAGGCGCACGTGTACGAGCGCGGCGGCCACGCCCCGCCGCCCATGCCGTCGGCGTCGTCCGCCGCGTCGTCCGGCACCGGGCGCGGCGTCGCCGGCCAGCCCCAGAGCACGGCGGTGGGCTTTAGGCGGTGCTGCAGCAGCTGCTGCTGCTTCAGGAAGTTGTGCAGGGTAATGTGCTTCGTCGGCTCGGTGCTGCTGGCAGGCATCGCGGCAGGTCGGCTTAGCTCAGCTCCCGTGTCAGCTTGAGATGTTTGCTCCCGTGGACTGACGGGACATTCGTGCGGCTGCGTCGCCGGGCATTTATAGAGGCTGCTAGTGAGGCGGTGGGGGTTGTGGGGTTTTGGAAGAGACGGAAGGGATGGGATCGCATCGGTTGTGTCGCGCGTTGTGAGCTTTTGTTCATGTCTGCGAGGTTGCGACACACAGAAACTTGCGCAAACTATGGCATGGGTAGTATCACCTGTGTGTGCATGCATGCTGGGGGCGCAGCTGATACGATCAATAGCTATCCAAGGAAAGCTCAAGCTACGGTTGTGTTGTGTACGTACGGCTCCTGCCTCCAACGCAGAGGGTTCACACACTGTACTGTACGAGCAATGCTATTTTTACGTAACACATCTACAAAAAGCATACACACCAGCACAATCGGACGACGGTTATTCCCATGTTTAGCTCCAGGTGGTTACTATCCCTCTCCGCCCTCCCAGTGCGTAAAAGTTTTTGTAAAAGTATACGTAAGACTACCATATTTGTGTACTATTATTATACCTCGCCATATGTCGGGTCGGGTCTAACAAAGCCTACTACAAAAAACCTAGGCCCGGACCTGGCCCGGCCGTCTGGCCTAGATATCAGGCCCAGGCCAAGTCCATCAGCGGAAAAGCCCGCCAGGCTTTGGGGCATCGGGTCGGGCCCTTCTCTAAATCACAAATATGTCAAGCCTAGGCCCGGCCCGGCCATCGGGTCTAGATCTCAGGCCCATGGCTGGCCCGTGAGCAAGATAGGGCCGGGTCGGGTATCCCATGGCCAGGTATAACTGTTATAAGTTTGGGTTTCGGTGAAAATGCTCAACGTACGGGCAATTTTTACGGACGGATGCGGCCCTCCTTAATTCGCCCCACCCCTTGCATTCCACTATGGAGCCGGCCACCCCCATATCAGTTCATGTCATTTCACTCTGTAACTTCTAATCCGTAAAACTTGTTCGTAAGTCTACCAGGGGTTTGGGCCAGAGAGGATTGAAATTAATCTGATTGATTTTTTTTTCAGAGGCATAAGATTTACATCATCTATTAATTGAGGCGATAAATATAGTTTTACAAGTACACTTCGAAACAATGCATCATGCAATACAATTTTCTCTAGTTTCTTAGCACCCGTAGTGGTCTAAAGTTTCGCCTCATCGAAGATGATGTTCAACAAGATTGCCGGCGGGTCTCTCCTCTGCCGAAAAACCCGGGAGTTTCTCTCATTCCAAATTGTCAAATAGACAAACATGATGAGAGAAGTCATGGCTCATCTATTGGGGTTTTGCATTCCGATTCTCTTATCTCATCAATCCTTGACGGGGCCCTCCAAATGCCAAATGGATGTATCCATGTACACAAGGCCTAGCCTCTGGATGACCAAGTTTCAAAATCTAAGGGTGTAGCGGCACTTGAAGAAGAGTTGAGCCATGTTTTTTTGCTCCCTTTTATAAAGAGGGCAAAGGCCTCAATTTGTACACCCACGCTTTGCCAACCTGCTAGCGGCCCAAATCCGATCTTGCAAAGCCAATCACACAAAAACTTGAATTTTGATGGAGCCCAAAGCTCCAAACCTTTCAAACCATGTGGTGCATGTGGGAGAGGGCCATGCCCATGAATTGAGCGAGCCTTATAAGTGGTAGCCACTGAGCTCTAATTGAAAATTACTACTGCTCTATATGCTATCGAGACACAGAACGTTCCAAGAAGGAGAATGGTTTATCTACCGTGTACGGGATATCTCGTGCATGGATTCACCACCTGTGGTTGATTTGAGAGTTGTGCTACTTTTTTGGTTGTTGTCAAGAAAAATCTCGTTTCAAAATTTTTTGTTTGGTTTTTGTCTTGTTTCAACGTGTATCATCATGTTTCATTGTGTACTAATAAAAAACAATTCATTTGTTTTGGCTCGGGTTTGCTGATACACAATGAAACATTAAAATACACTTTGGAACTAAAATAACTCAATGAGACGCTTTCAAACAAGATAAATTTTGGAAAACCCAATGGTAAGCAAAGCTAGGCATCAATGATAGATCAACTTATATAAGAAAAACCCATGGACATCCAAAACAACCAATGGTCGAACTTGTGATTTCCATCCCCAAAATCAAGATTTGAGCCAACACCCTTGACAAGGTAATAGCGTACACACATCGACGTTGCCTGGTCAAGCCAATGAGGCAAAATCTCGGGGGTTCACCTGGAGTGTGCGTATACTTGTTATCGAAGCCATCACTACCATTAACCTTTCTTTCAACTGACACCAACTCCCTAGCCAGATCTGGATGCAGAGAGACCGATGCTCACCCCACCCAATGGAGAAAAGGTAGGAAGCAAGTGGAGGACCCGAACGCCCCGCTCGAAGACACTGCCCCACTGCCTTTGACCTTCATCGATGAGAGAGGGAGGACACATGATGTAGGGTTGCAACCATATATGACCACCAATGCAACAACCTCGCGGATCACTAACCATGTTCCCTGGGTAGCTGCCTGGACGTCCACCATGCCTCCTCTCGCCCTCATCGTTCGGATCAAGCCCCCAAGAAGGGGCAACACCACCCAATCTGTTTTGGCACACGTCAAGATTCTAAACGTGCACGCGTCGAGGCCGTGTCAGTCCCACCGCTGAGCACCACACTGTGAAGACTTGCATGCACTAACACCTTCAATCCTGCCACCCCGCACGACCACACTCTGAGGCATAAGATGGGCGACCGTCGTGTCTTCCTTCACCCACTTAAGACGCATGCCAACCACCCGCCCGATCCGCACCTCTAGTGCGGACGAGTCCACCATAGCTGACCATAACCGCCTCCCCTCGTTGCAGCAAAACACCACCAAGCCCACCATAGTCGACACTACCACACTGGAGAATGTCCGCACCGGTGCCAACGTTGCATGAGGTTTGCGTGGCGATGGCGAGGGAAGGGAAGGGGTAGGGGAGGTCCACTATCGGCTAGCTCGTGGCACCAGGAGTGGTCGCTGGAGTTGCATGGGAGTGGTCCCTGTTAGTGACGACGATGATGATTGTTTTTGGCGGCAACAACAAGGTCAATATCGGTACGAAACCATAAGAATAGCCCAAGGGGCGAAAAATAGATGGTTTTTCTGATATCAGAGC